TATATAAGCAGATGACATATAAGTTGAATTTTACTCAGCTTTAAGGAACAAAATGAATGGACCCTGAGATCATCATCATGAAAATATTCCAGGTTAAATTCAGATTGTAAAGAAATAGGTAAGGCATAAAAATAGGAGAGACTATTTGGGAAGAGGAAGGAATTGTGCTGGGTGAGAACAAGTAATGGAAAATGCCCAACACTTAATAGGCACTCAAATATTTGTGAATATTTACTCTGATTGTTATTGTGACCAAATACCTGACAAGAGGACTTAACGGTTTATTTTTGGCTCATGACGTACATATGTACAGACCATACTACAGTGGGGAAGGCATGAAGCAGGTGGCTCCATGGGAGTATATGTATAAGGCTTAGTGCTCAACTCTAAGTAGATCAAAGAAAACAAAGAAACGGGAATGCCAGCACTCCTCTGGCTTTCTATCTTTCCCTCCTTATTCAGTCCAGAACTCATGCTATGTTGCTGTGCACATTCAGTGTCCCTCTCTGGATAAGCCTTCAGATATAACAGCCCTTAAAACGTGTCTTCAGGTGGTTCTAAATCAAATCAAGCTGGGAAAAAAGATTAACTATGACTATTTTACTGCTTCACTTAACATTAGCTCAAAAGATAAGTGATTCTAGATTTCCGTTAGCAGTACAACAATGCCTTTAGAAAAGCAAAGCTTTTACCACCTTTTCTTTCTCAGTCTTGCTAAGTCTCTGAAATCTGAGCTCACGGTTAAACAGTTGTCTTTAAGTGTGTGTCCCTTGGGAAGACAACCAAGTTGCTTTGCATACACCCAAGAATCTTTGTGATGTGGGAGTGTCATATATCAATCTGTTGATTTCATTGGTTAAGCAAGAAAGAAACTCCTTGGCCCTGATAGGTTAAAACATAGGTGGGAGGAGTAAACAGAATAGGATGCTGGGAGAAAGAGGAAGTGAGCTCAGACTCTGCTCTGCTCCTGGAGAGACTCGACAGCTCTGCTCTCTGGAGCAGAGACATCAGGCTGGCTTCGCTCTCCCAGGCAGCTCCGACCCAAGATGGACGTAGGTTAGAATCTTCCTGGTAAGCGCACCTTGGGGTGCTTACACACATTATTAGAAATGGGCTAGTCCAGGTGCGAGAATTAGCCTAGAAGAGGCTAGATAGAAATGGGCCAAGCAGTATTTAAATGAATACAGTTTGTGTGTTGTTATTTCGGGAATAAGCTAGCAGGCGGCTGGGGTGCTGGGGACGCAGCCCCGCTGCTCCTTATTTCAACATCTTTGGGCAGCACAAACTGGTCTTGATGGAGGGCAGGGGCACAATGTTGGATAAACAGGAAAATGGGGCTGGATCTTGGAAGAGTTGAGAGAGGAAATGAATGCGATCAAAATACATTGTATAAAACTCTCAAGGAACCAATTTTTAAAAATTTATTTCTTAAAATTACAAATAGGAAATCAAAAAATTTTGCAAACCACCACAACAGACTTTGCTTATATTTACACTTTACTCACTAAGAGTTATAGGACTATCAAAGAAAAAAAAAATAGCACTTGTGTAGGCAACCAATGATGCCTTTCATACCCTTTATATGTAAAAACAAAAAATGCAAACAGTTTTCTCAACATGAACTAAGCTTAAAGAAAAGACATGAAAACAGGACAAAACACAAGTATTTTTACTTTCTGTTTAGTATCTTTCTCATAAAATGATTTCATTATTTATAATCAGTTTCTACATACTATGCATCCCTACAGAAACATATTAAAATGTTCCCAAACTCCAAGACTGTGGCACTGTACACAACTGCAGAACCCAAGCCACTGCTAATTTTCAGCATTTAGACCTGATCAAGTATCATGTATACTTTTCTTAAAATATTTTCCCCATAATTTATAAATTATTTTCATTTTACATTCATTAACTATGACATGTATCTAAAAGTACTTTTTCTGTCTAAAGACAGAATTAGTAGAGTTCACTGCTAGCATTTTCAAAGTGCTTTTTCAATAAACAGAAAGTCCGTTTTTCCAACTTTCCAAAAATGAAACGCAACTGCTGCTATGGTTTGGATATGGCTTCTGTCAAAACTTATGCTGAAATGTGATACTATTTTAACTTTGTTTCGGGATGGTAGAATCTATACAGAGTGATTAAGTTCATGGTAACTAGCTATCTTGAGAATGAATTAGGTCTCCTGATTAGACTAACAGCCAAGAAAGCGACTGTAATGAAGTCTGCTGACATACATGTCCTTTCTCCATGTGTCCCCTTCTACTCTGTATTTCTCTATTATGATACAACAGCATGAAGCCCTGACCAGAAGCTGAATGATACCAGTGCCATGTTCCTGGAACTCCAGAATATCTCTTCTCTATGAATCACTCAGCATAAGACACTGTTTATAATAAAACCGGACACTCATCAAAGAGATTTTAAAGACTAGCTTCATGAAAGAAAGAGTGTTGCAAACAAATACACAAGACAACTAAGCAGTACCTTTACACCACAAAATGTCCTGTCTTTCCAGGACATTAAAAATCAAGCTCAACCTAAGTATATTGGTGAATGAAAAATATTCACTGTAATATTCTCTACTAGGATATTAAAAGTCTGTTTAACAATAATTACTTTAACAAAGAACATTAAAGCTAAAAAAGCATAGATTTAAAAAAACAGAATGAATGAAAAATTTAAACCTAATTTAAAAATTTACGCAATTATAAAATTTAATAAGAATCCACAGCATAAATATAAGAGGGTTCCAAAATTAGAAGAGAATAAAAATACTTTTTAAAGAAACAAAATGAATATGGTTAAAATTAAGATATAATTCCATAGGAACTTTATAAAATTCTAAAGAACACATGCTATTTAGTTTATTTGCCAACCTGACAGAAGCTGAGATCTTCCGGGAAGAGGGAACCTCAATTGAGAAACCGCCCCTATCAGATTGGCCATGTAAGCAAGCCTGTGGGGCAGCCCACAGAGGGCAGTACCCGCCACGGGCAGGTGGTCCTGGGTGTATGAGGCTGTAGACTTGAGCACGCCATGGGGGCACTCCCTTAGGATCGCTGGAGTCGGAACTACTCAGGTGCCTCTGCTGTTTCTTTTGGTGACGACTATGAGCTCTAAGTCAAATAAACTCCTTCCTCCCCAAGTTGTTTTAGACTATGGTGTTTATCACAGCAATGGAAAACAAACTACAACAACGTGAATTCATTTAAACACAAGTACATTAAGATGGACATAACAATGAAACATAAACTACTATATAATATGGAGGAATACAAACAAAACAAAGTCAAACTTTAAGAGTCCATGCACTGAATGATTTTAGGACTTAAAAATGCGCCCCACCTGCCATCATGGCCCGCTGTTTTTGGTCAACAATGAAAAATATATCAAATTTCTATAGTTTCATGTTTCTAACGTTAACTTTTGTGAACTCAGGACAGAATAAAGTTTAAATATTCTTGATGATCAGCCATGTTAAATTCTCTTATCCTCTTGGCTATGGGAAGTAGACAAAATTGCTGGGGAGAAAATTGAGATCTTGGGGGTGGGGTGGGTTGGGGATAAGGGGGGACGGGGAGAGAAAAGTGAGAAGGGGAGGATTGGGGGATCTTGGGGAAACAGGATGAT